GCAACATTGGTGATGGGTTTCCTAGAAAGAAAACTATATGAACGATTCGAGATCCGTTATGGCACGGAACAACGAGAACAATTCATCGCCATATTTAAAAGATACTTGGACGACTGCTTCCTATTTTGGGACAAAACACGGGAGGAACTTGATGAACTACACACACTTTTGAACCACCTTCATCCGAAACTCAGATTCACAATGGAAGTACATGAGTCACAACTACCTTTTCTAGATATCTTACTATGTAAAGACGGAAGAACAATCTACACAGACATCTACTACAAGGGAACAGACTCCCACCAGTACCTCGACTTCAACTCCTGCCATCCCAAACACTGTAAGACCAACATCCCCTACACATTAGCTAGACCATTATTATCGCCAACCATGAAATTCGTGAACAACGCTTGGAAGAACTTAGAATATTTCTCGTACGTCGAAACTATCCAACAACCTTAATTAACTCAAGCTTCGAAAAAGCGAAAGGCCAAAGTATCGAAGGGAATTAAGAACACCAAAGGCGAAGGAACCCGAAGGCAGAATATTACCTCTAGTGTTAACATATGGCGTCATATTTCCGCCAAAATTCATGCCTGTATTTTCAACATTAAAGTCATGATTTGCAACATTAATGTTCGTATTTTGAACATTAAAGTTTGTATTCGCAACTTTAAAGCTTGTATTCCCATCACTAAAGTTTGTATTCCCATTCACTAAAGCTCCTATTCACAATCACTAAGCTTGTATTCCCAATATTAAAGTTTGTATTTACCACATTTACCACATTGACACTGGGCTCACATGACACGTCATCAAATTTTCCCGCGCTATATTTTTTGTGTGAAATTTGAACTCGAATAGTCGAAGTAGATGCCTCGTGTTGTGAAATTCAAATGATTCTAAACGAAATAAATTGCGCTAGAGAAGCGCTTTTACAAGTGGCCGATCGATTGCGCTCTTTTCAACGGGACAGTCAGTCAGAAGGTAAGTGTCTTTACCATATAGAAATTACAATAACA